CTAGATAAAATATGCTTTCAATAGAAAAAGAAAATTCAAGAGTTGCTACAACTAAACCATTAGATGAACTTTTTACTAATGTCGGTCAAAAGTTTGAGACAGAGACCGTAAAGCATGAAGGCTATCGTTTTGACTACCCATTAAGATGGCTAAGAGACCCATCTGTCACAAAAGCTATTGGCTTTCGTAGAATGAAGTTCATTTCAGAAGCCATACATGGTTTCCCATTTACGGTCGGTTTTGAAGTTCGATACTATAACAAAGAAAAACGTATGTATGAGAAATTTGAACAGGGAAAACTTTTACAAGTTAGTTTGCTTGTAAACTTAGAAACAACTCTTCAAGCTTTTCAAGAAAAAATAAACGATATCTATATCGAATATGCAAACCAGTATAACATTGACGAAGGAGAATACCATCTCGATATTATTTATGACAGGAAAAATGCAACTGTTAAAATCAATAGAATAGAAGACCTTGGAGAAAACGTTTATATTTCTACAAAATAAACAACTTGGCATGGTATAGATTTATGAGGATGTTAAATCAGCCTGCAGCATATCCAGTACACCCAGACTTTTATGAAGTCGAAAACCCTAATGGAACATATGAAAATGTTTTCGACCAAGATGCTATTATTGTTCATGCTTCATTTTCTGGCGCCCAAAACTCTTTCTTATGCTTGGCAAATGACTTTTACGAAAAACCTACAAAGTTATACGAACCACCAAGTGGAAGTATTTCAGACTTTCAAGTATGGTTTACTACAGATGGAAGAAAAAGAATAATTCCATTATACCATGCGTTTTACTTAGAACTTAGTTTCATATACAACTACTATCGAACGGTAAAAATATAATTTTTTAATATACCGGTTGTGGTGTTGGATTTGGTTGCCAACTAGACTGTGGTGCAGGTTCAGGCTGTTGTATAACAGGAGCTTGTTCTTCTGGTTCAGGGTCTTTAGGTATAATACCAACAAACTGACCTACCCTTTTACCAATATTTTTGACACCGTTCCAAATTCCTCTTCCTACGGTTTTTATTCCATTCCATATACCTCTTCCAACATTTCGAAAGAAGTTTCCTATCTTACTGAAGAAACCCATTTTACTATATGTAAAAATCTAATGTCCGCCTAGTCTCTTACGTTTCCTGTTGAGTTCCATAGCATTCTTTAACTGGAGCTCATACATTCTGTTTCTCCTCTGGTAGAAAACATATTCTGGGTCAACTCCTGTGTTCGCGTCATCTGCATAAAGTTGTTTATATCCCACTTCAGGGTTTGTATAAAACTCTTTCCATCTCATATTTGCATACCATGGGGGCAAACCTACCGCAGCGTCATTTGACATGGCAGTTTGCATTTGTACATCTGTTGGCACTTGACCATAGTTTGCCATTGCAGTTTGTATTCTAACTTCATTTGGAATATTCTCTGGGTTTGGTTGTCCAGGTTGCTGTGCATTCGCTAAGTTCTGTGCGTCCATTTAATATTAGATAAAAATATCTCTTACGAGTACATATACTGAACATTTGCAGGCATTGGTTCATCTTCATATTCTCTGTACTTTTCTGCCACGTCAAATAAATAAATGACACAATGGAAAAAACCTAAAACAAGTAGTCCTATTTCAAACCACATTTACTTACTAATAAAATTTCTTTGTTATGACACTTTCTCCGGTTTATAGGACCTCTCTCATATTCTATCTTGTCATATCTAAACTCATAGTCATGTATGTCCTCTAACCATCTCATAACGGTTTCCAAACCACTTTTATCGGATGTAAAGTAAAAGCATGGATGGTTATGTAAAACGTCTAAAGTTTCTAAAGAGTCTCTCAAAGTCCAGTCTATTTGGTATTGAAAATCCCATGTGTTATAGAACGGCGGGTCCACTATAAAGAAAACATTTTCCTTGTCTTTATATTTTTCATACAACTCTGTCCAATGACATCTCACAAACTCTATACCCTCAATATATTTTTCTATGTTCTGTTTGAAAACATTTGTATAGTTAAGATATAAAACTTTTGACATAAGTGTTTCAATGTCATGAACTCTTATAGCACCACTATATAATAGTCTAGCAGATATACTATTCCAGTCTATATATTCTGCTTTTTTCAAAACCTCTCTCACAATATTTTTCTTATCTAATGGTATACGTTCCATCTTACCTATAGGTATCTTTTCTTTTAACTCTTTCAATATATTGTTTGTGTCTGGTATATGTTTGAGACGGTCCATATAGTTGTCGAAGTCATTGCATATAATCTTTGAGTCTGGGAATATTGTATGACATAAATGGGATATATAGAAACTTCCACCGAACAAATCTACAAATGTTAGACCATTCGGTAGTTTCTTAAGTTCTCTCAATATAATATCTTTACATCTACTCTTATTTCCAAAGAACGGTAACGGAGGTTTTGTAAAATTCATTTATATATAATAATAAAAATGTTTTTACCCGAAAAGTGACAGAAAAGTGACAAAACATGTACGATGAAGAAGTCTTGACAAAGCATATACGAAGAAATCTTGACAAAACATTTACGATGAAATCATGAAAATTCAAGAGGGTAGAAAAGAGGGTAGAAAGGAGGGTAGATCTAACCTTCTACCCTAAACATTATTTTTGGGTCATTTACACTCATTACGAAGAAATCTTGACAAAACATTTACGAAGAAATCTTGACAAAACATTTACGAAGAAATCTTGACAAAACATTTACGAAGAAATCTTGACAAAACATTTACGAAGAAATCTTGACAAATTCATGAGGTTAGAAAACATGTTAGATCTAACATTCTACCCTAAACATTATTTTTGGGTCATTTACACTCATTACGAAGAAATCTTGACAAAACATGAAAACATATATAATTTGTGAAAAGTGAAACAAAAAAAAGTCAACGGCTGGTCGGCTGGGGCTCCGGTCCTCCTCTTGGGTCTTGTGCAAAATTTTTTATGGGCTAGAAGGCACGAAGTGCCTGGAAGGCCATCCCAAGAAAAAAAAAATCATTTATAATAAACATCTTCAGGGCTAGAAGGCACGAAGTGCCTGGAGGCCCCACTACCTTTTTTTTTTTTTTTTTTTTTTTTAAATCAATAGTAATTCCAGATACTGTAACAAATATACATGAAGGAGCCTTTTTTGCTTGCTCTTCTTTGAATTCTATTGTTATTGGAACCGGATTGAAGGCCATTTCAAATTATTGCTTTAGACGAACAAACATCTCATCAATAACAATTCCATCAGGAATAACAACAATCGGCATTTATGCATTTGATGGCTGTAATAATCTTAAAGAAGTTGTTTTACCATCAAGCTTGAAAAATCTTGGCGGATCTTGTTTCCCAATGACTACAAAATTGATATTCTCTGAAGGATCAGATTTTACGATTGATGATCAGCTGATTGTTTATAACAAAGCCAAAACAAAAGTTGTCATGTGTTTGAATCAGAGTGATAGCTATATTATTCCATCTACAGTTCAAATCATCAATAATGATGTTTTTAAATTAAATAAAATTCTTAGCAAAATTGAATTTGATCCGGATAGTCAATTGACTGATATTTATGATGGTGCATTTTCTGAATGTGAGAAACTTTCTAGTATCAACATTCCTCTCTCAGTTTCTAAATTTGGCAAAAACTCATTCTATGGATGCAAGTTACTCCAATCTGTATTTTTTGGCGATAAGTTGAGTATGATTTCAGATAATTGCTTTGAAAACTGTATCTCTCTAAGAACTATTAGTTTTTCTGATAGTAATGTAAGTGCAAATATCAATCAGTATGTTCAGTGGATGCGGATCTCTCACATCTATCATACTCAAAAAAGGAATTTTGAGTCTTAATATGTTCTGTTTCAGAGGATGTATAAGTCTTAATAAGATTAACATTCCATCAACAGTCGTTTTCATCGGAACCAACGCGTTCCAGAACACGAACATCGAAACTGTCACATTTTCGTTAGATAGTCATATGCGTGTACTTAACCAGTACGTTTTCAGTGGATGCAACACACTTCGAAATATCGAAAACATTCCTAGTTGTATTGAGTCTATCGAATCTAATTGTTTCGAGTTCACTAATATTGAAACATTCACAGTGCCAGTCTCTACTGTCAGCATCGCAGACTATGCATTCCGAGGCTGCAGATCTCTCCGTGTCTTCACAATTCCATCAGGATGTGTTCTTAGTAATATCGGAAACTTCATCTTCACCGGATGCACATCTCTTAGTGTTATCGAGTGTGATAACAGCGAACACTTTGTTGTCGACAATGGTGCACTCTTCAACAAAGAACGAAGCAATCTTATCTACTTCCCTCCTGCCTCTTCGATCAAGTTCTTCTGCTTCTCACAGAACGTCAAGAGTGTTTCATCTAGTGCATTCTATGGATGCAGGCATCTTGAAGGTATCATGATCCCAGACAACTCTATCGAAACTATCGGTTCCTCAGCATTCTCAGAATGCACATCTTCAAGTACATCAACATCCCTCTGTGTGTGAAGACGATCGAACAAAACGCATTCTCAGGATGCATCAACCTTCACTGTGGTGTCAACATACAGAACAAGACTCGTTCATATATTGATAACATTATTAAATCTAGTGGTCTTAGTATCACATCCATGAAATCTTGTTCATTGATCACATGCAAGCAAATTCACTGCCAAAATCATGTTTCAAATTCATATCTATATGTTTTTATTCTAATGTAAATAAAAAAAATGGTATACCCCCTTTATATGAAATTTTTAAATGTTATATTTTCTTCTACATAGGTAATATAATTTCCGTATATATCCATGTATATTAAATTTGATTAATTTACATTATCTGAATTTTTTCTTATCAAATTTTGGCATTTGACAAAATCAGTGTCATTTGACAATATAGCATAAAATAGATTATGCATATTCTTATATATTATGAAATTTTATTTGATTTTAAATAAGTATTCAAAATTTCAAAAAAAAGATGCTTTTTGTTCTTTCCGCAATAGGATTTTCTCAAAAGTTTAAACCTATTGCACCCTTCTTACAAGGTAAGACTAGAAAGCATACTGGCTTCAGTCATAGATATCTAAAACCTTCATTTGTCCGTATCCCCAACTTTCAATTATCTGAATCTAACCCCATTATGCCACCTCTTAGAAAACTTCCATATCTTCTCAAAGATGATAAACCTATATTTAAAAATACAGAAATGGAGAAGAATTTTTTTACACCAAATATTGTCAGTATTCACAACTATCAAGATGACAATTCATACACTGTCCACTGCTGCAGGCATCATAAGCAAGGAGATGCAGAAAACGGCTATTTACCCCGTCTCCCACCCATTACAGATGCTACCAAAGATGAAAGCGTACACAAGGGTGGACAACCAAAATTTTGGACACACAATGGTCCATGGGCTGGTCTTCTTGACAAAAATACAAAAAAAGGTAAATTCATTTTGCCGCGTAATTTACCCAGAACTTTAACAACAAACAACCAATGGGATCACTTCCATCAAAGGCAATATCCCCCACCAATTATTTTGTAAAATGAAAATACAAATTTTAAAAACAAAAAAAAACTGATTTAAGTTTTTTAAAAAACTGCAATTCAGAGAAAGAGAAAAAGAAATCTCTTTTATTCAATAGGATGCAACTAATTTTTATATTTGAAATTATTCATAAGAAAGATGTATTAAAAAGCTTATGTTCATATTATACTTGTTTTGAAATGATATTTAGTATGAGTTCTTTATTAAAAAAGTCAAATACTTTTTTTCCTCTTCATTTCAATAACCAAAATTTCTCTGTATCCAAAGTTAAGCTTTTCGTTGTTGATTTGCTTAGTTGTGATTCGCCAGATGTACAATCATAATGATCTAAATAACTTAGCATTACATTATGATGTTATTTATCCTGTTTTCGCCCAATCTTACTGTTATTACCTAGTAAACGTACCTTTTCTCAGTCGAGAATTTTGTGACGTTACACTTTCCGATAACTTTGAAAATTTCGCACTTGTCACTTTTTTGATATTGTATGGAAGAAATATGTGGTGGAGAGTATCAAATAATCAAGAAGATTGGTCAAGGAAGTTTTGGAAAGATTTACATTATCAAACAAGTCAAAACTGGTCTTTTATTTGCAGCAAAACTTGAAAATTCAGATGCTCCGATACCTCAACTCTTATTTGAGTCCCGTTTATATCAAATTATGTCAGGGTCAACAAATGTTCCTCGATTGCATGCTCACAGTTTCGATTCTCGCTACAATACCATTGTTATTGACTTACTTGGAAAATCATTAGAAGAGCATCTAAATAAAGTCAATCGACGCATGTCGCTTAAGACAGTTCTCATGCTTGTCGATCAAATGATAACAGCTGTTGAGTTCTTTCACTCGAAAAATTACATTCATCGTGATATTAAACCAGATAACTTTGTAATGGGTGTTAACCAAAACTCTAACAAACTATACATCATTGACTACGGTCTAGCCAAGAAATATCGAGATGTAAATACTCATGAACATATTCCTTACATCGAAGGGAAATCTTTAACAGGAACAGCCCGATACGCTTCCATTAACGCTCTACTAGGCTGTGAGCAGTCCAGACGTGATGATATGGAAGCAATTGGCTACGTAATTGTTTATCTCTTGAAAGGCCATTTGCCGTGGATGGGAATCGACGGAGCCACTAACCAAGAGAGATACAGACGAATAGCAGAATGTAAGCGCGATACTCCACTCGAAAAACTTTGCGAAGGACTTCCATCCGAAATTATCACTTACATACGAAAAGTTCGCAGTTTACGATTTACAGAACGTCCCATTACGCAAGCTACAGACGTTTGTTCAGGGGATTATTCCGTGCCATGCAATTTACGTTTGATTATATTTATGATTGGAGTCCACGCAAAGACAACGATGTTCCTCCTGTTAGATACACTCGCCGCAAAGGCCAGATGCCAGTGAACGAGCGCAGACCTTCAATCGAAGCAGTTTTCAGCGGGGAAAGGCGAAGAAGATCCGAAGAAAACATGAGAACAATTGATTTCGAAAATGAAGAGATTCCTGAACCGAAAAAGCCAGTAGAAGTGAAACAGATCGAGTTAAGTTCATCATCATCACAAGATAAACCGAAAACGAAGCCGAATTACATGAGAGAAATCGATGCAATATTAAACAGAGTCAAGCCAATCCAAACACCAAAAATTGTTTCTCATTTACCTCCTCCGCCAATTGAAGAGCTGCCGAAGAAGCTCAGGAAAGAAGAGGAGAAGACACATCATCATAGGAAACTCTCTGGACACAGAACTCATCACCACGAATCAAAGAGAGTCGTGAAGAAAGAAAAAACTAAAGTTGAAGAGGAAGAAGAGATAATTCCAAAGAGATTCACAAAGAGAAAGGAACTGGAAATGCCTTCTGATGATGAACCACTGACAAGTGTTGATGAATTCTTAATTAGACGCGGTTTAATGAAACCACGAAAACCTAAGATATAATATTAGTTTTTTTATTGTTTGTATTTATTTTTTATTTGATAAAATATTGACGTTTATTGATAATTATCTTAGTCTGAAACCTTGACTTCGTTTGATCAATGTTATTTCATGGAAATCTCAAATTTCTTGGAATGAAGTCTTATATTAGGGAACCAAAAGTTTCTAAGTTTGGTAAAACAATGATTTGCTGATATTGGATAAATATAAATTAAAGTTTGAATCATATAACATGATAAGAAATTTTAACAAATAAGATTTATTGCTGAACTATAGGGAATAAAATTTGACATATTAGGCCATTGCTTGTTCAAATAATATTATAGGCTATTTCTTCAAAATTAACTAAGGTCCTTTTTTCATTTAAGGTACCCTATTCAAAAAATGAAAGGGGGTCACTCACAAAATTGAAGGGGTACCATTCAAATTCTATCGAAATAGTACCTTAATTAAAAAAGCTCTCAACCGGTACCATTCAAATTCCCTCAAAAATATTGAAAAGATTTTAGGTATGCTGCTAATATAGTTAGTAGCATCATACAGAATGCATAGACAAATTTTTACTAATTATTTTTTCTTAGCAATTCAAATTCGAGATCGCTTAACTATGCTTAGAATCATAAGCATAATAATTTTGCAAAAGGTATGGGAATAATTTGAAAATTAATTTCAAAATTATTAATACTAGTGCAAGCTAGTGTAAGCATGTAAATGCATATTTGTGCACTGATTCGATACTCTTTTTTGGAAATTGTACTTTATCTTAAATTTCGAATGCAAATTTTTTGAATATGTGTATTGAAACTGTAACCTTTTGTCTAAGTTGCATTCTAATATAGCTCGAATTCTAAAAATGGGACTTTACTCCTCTTTCTTTGAGAAATTTTAGACAATAGCCAAATTGCTAATTTTGTTGGAGTAATACCTGCATTGGGAGGTATAATATATTGTTCAGGGTTGAAACAAGGAGGTAGTTAGTGATAAAGCATAGTTACCACATGAAATGCAGTAAAATTTTGAGTCTAAACGTCTTTTAAACCATCAAGTATAAATTATAGAAAAGATACTTTATATATAGTTAAAATAAAAATGATTAGAAAATAGCGTTTTTGATCAAAATTTCAAATTTTTATTTCCGAATATCTCTATTTGTGTCTAATTAGAGACATTTCTATAATTTTAGTGCGCAGCATATGCAATTCCTCTTTGGTTATTGCATTAATTTCTCAAAAAGAAAAAAGTCTTCAATAATTTTTTCAACAATACAGTACTAAAGCTAAGAACTTCTAAACACATGAAAAGTTATATCATTCTCGTTAATATGTAGATTATCAATGAAAAGAATATTGTGAAATTTGAATATTTTTTAAAATAGAATGTAGAAATACTTATCAATGCTTAAAATAGAGATATGTGAGAGCTAGATCCGTATTTATTTACGTTTTTGTGCATATTTTGAATATCAAATTAAATTAATTTTGAAGATTTTAGCATCTAAAAGTATTTAATGCCCCTATACAAGCAAGGTAATTCTTACATGTCTTAGTAAGTCCAAACTTAATGTTTTATGATATGGGCCTGACCTCTCCATATGGTGACGATAGAAATTGAATAGGGTAGCTAAATAAAAAAAAAGGAGTTTATTTAGTGTGTTAAGACATTGTGAGATAAATTCAATGTAAAGGGGCTTCGTCCAATGGGAGGACACGGGTAAAATCCTACATACTGGATTTGATAATTCTGAAATCTTGGTTCAATTCCAAGGGCTCCTATTTTTTCCCAAATTTTCTCTATGCGACGCAAAGTTTTTGCATCCTTTTTGAAATACATGCCTTTCAGACAGAGAGTGACATCATTTGCTCATGATAATGTAATTATTTTGAATGTTTTGTGGAGCAATTGGCGGCTATATTCTGGAAAAAGCTAATTATTCATAGTCATTTAATAGCAAATTCAATGTTATATTCATATTTCACTTCAAATCAGTTTCGAGAAATAGCTCAAAAAGTGACAACAAAATTTGTACGTTGATTTCAAGACGATAAATTATTCATGTTTCGCGCACTACCTGAAGTAAACAGAATTCGTTCTAAAGCAGCACGCGACAGAGCATATGAGCAGCACTTGGCAGCACTCCGTAACATGAAGCCATTAGTTAACACAAGAAAACCTCAAACTCCACAATCAATCGGTCGCAATTGCAAACGATACGAGAACGAAAAACAGAGATGCTCAACAGTTTTGAAAGATAACCAACGCTTAGAAGGAAAAATGCATGATATTCAAAAGCAAGAGCATTTCCCACGTGTATTACCTCAACGTCCATACACCCTTCAAGGTCAATATCAGAAGGATGAGATGGCTCGTATCGATTACGAGAACAAGAAGCTTCTCAAAGCAATTGAAACAAGAAAACCGACATTAAATCGTACTGAATGGACACGTCACCGCTTAGATCATACATACCAAATCACTAAAATGTCTGAATTTAAGAAGAGTGTCCCTATGAGTGACATTGTTCGCGAAGAATACCGTTCTAGCATGAGCAGACCACATACAACAATGTCTAAGTGGGGATCCCAGACATCTCCATCCAAATCGGAGAAATCCCAGACAGAACAGTCCGATGATTTCGCTGAAGAAGAAAATAACGAACAAAAGGATCTTTCTCTCAGAAAGGAAGTCAACGAAGCAGTCGAAGACGGCAAGAAGGAGAAAGAGGAACAAGAGAAGAGAGATGAGGAAGTCGAAAAGGAGATGGAAGAAAATAACGAATTCTCATTAACAGGACAGGTCAACGAAGCCGTTCAGAGAGGCCAAGAGGAGAAGAAGGAGCAAGAAGAGAAGGACGAGAAGGTCGAAAAAGAGCCAAAGAAGAGAAAGATGAACAGGAAAGAAAGGAAAAGGAAGAGAAGGAGAAGGAAGAACAAGTCGAAAAAGAAATGTAACAAAATAAGGAATTTTCATTGACCGGACAAGTCAACGAATCCCTCGACAGAGCAAAGGAAGAGAAGGCAGAACAAGAGAGAAAGGAGAAAGAAGAGGCAGAACGCAAGCGCAAAGAAGAAGAGGAGAGAAAACAAAAAGAGGAAGAAGAAAGAAAGAGAAAAGAAGAGGAAGAAAGGAAACGTAAAGAGGAAGAAGAAAGGAAACAAAAGGAAGAAGAAGAGAGAAAGAGAAAAGAAGCTGAAGAAGCTGAGAGAAAGCGTAAGGAAGAAGAGGAAAGAAAGCGCAAGGAAGAAGAAGAAAGAAAGAGAAAAGAAGAGGAAGAAAGGAAGCAAAAAGAGGAAGAAGAAAGAAAGAGAAAAGAGGCCGAAGAAGCGGAAAGAAAGAGGAAGGAACAGGAGGAGGAGAGATTGAAGAAGGAACAGGAAGAAAAGGAAAAGGCTGAAGCAGAAAAGAAGAAAGGATTGGGACTTTCTTTGAAAGGTGAAGTTCAGGAATCTCTTGATCGCGCTAAGGAAGAAAAGGCCGAAGAAGAGAAGAAGCAGCAACAAGAGAAAGAAGAACAGGAAAGAAAGGCTGCAGAAGAAAAGGCAAAAGAAGAAAAAGTTGAACAGGAAATGAAGAAGAACAACGAATTTTCACTTTTCGGACAGGTAAACGAAGCAATTCAGAGAGGAGAAGAAGAGAAGAAGGAAGAAGCAGCTCCGGCTAAGCCAGAATTAGGTTTGAAGGCTAGTCTATTCTGATTTGAATAAATTAAATGTTTTATTTTTATATTATAAACTGATTTCACAATAAATAAATCAAGGGCATTTTAGAGCTTCTAATCTCCCTATGTATTTTATCAAGCAAGCTTTCATTGGATCAATACAACAGAATATAGCAAACTATACTTTCTAATAGGATGTTTACTCAAATGACTCCTCGTTGGATTGATTATTTTTTACAATTTCAGTCAATATCGTTATAAACTATTCACAGTAATAGGTTAGCTTCGAAAATGATTAAAGTCATGAATTACGTTTACAGAAGTATACATTAAAAATCAAATTTCGATTCGATAGTATCCAGCTTAAATTTTTGTTAGACAATCAGATACATAAATAGCATTCAAATAAAAAATGCATAGTTGAAATATGCAATAAATCGGCTAATACAATTTTTGTTTAGCGATTTTATTGCTTAATTTAAATGCTTTTATGCACTTTTGCAAAAGTTATTTGACTTTGCTTACCAAATAATATTTGTCTGCCAAACAATTACTTGGATGTCATGAGGTTCATTTCTATATTGAAATTCGAAATCCTATAACATTCTTATTATTTGATATCATAATCAATAACCATTACGAAACATTTACGAATACACTTAGATACGTTTATTTTATTTATTTGTTGTTGTTGAAATAAAATTATTATTAATTTACCTGAAATTTGTATAGTATATATCATTCCCATCATAATGGATGAGATTTGATCGGCTTTAAGTTGAAGAATGGGAAAATTTAATATTAGAATCAAATAATATTTGTTTTTTGTACTTAAAAAGGATTGGACTTCAAAGTTTAGATAATAATACAACAAGTTGGTTTTCCAAAAAATATTCAAAATCTATTTTTTCATGTGAAAAATTAATTATTTGGTTTTCATTTTTCTTTTTTCGAATTTTTTTTGGAATTTTCAACTGTGACTTAGAACAGAATGAGTATCCTAATTTGATTTCACATCCTATGGTATGATGAATTATATGATTATTTTAAACTAATATTTTTGATCACATAGATCAATCCCAATAATATGCAATATTAAAACAAAAGTATTATATTGTTCACAATCATGATCTAGATCAGTAAAATACACCGATTAAAAGAGTATAAACAAGGTTTTTAGTCTATTTATTATACATATTAGAAGCTTCAATGCGCATTGCTTAAATTGTAGTTGACGTATGAGATCCTTGAACTGGTTAATACTAGGTACATGATAAAGTAAGCTTCAAATTTATACAAATAATGTAAATTGAATTAATTTTTCGACTTTGTATTGATAAACGATCAGTTTTATGATATAAAACTGATATGATACTTGTGTTGGATTGCGATATGGTGACATTTAAGAGATTTCTGTCGATAATTTTGGATGATTGTGATAGCCGATGTTTTCCAAACTCAGTATTTTACATATGCATATGTGTAGTCTGTTGCTGGAGTTTTAGGCAAAAATTTTGGTTGGAAGCAAATGTCCAAACCTTTGTTTTCACTAAAGTGAAATCATTGTCAAATTTTTTTTATTTTTAGTGAGGGGAAAGAGAAGCACATCATGCTTTTTCATTTACAAAAAACTTGGTTTAAGCAATTGGGCATGAAACGCTATTGTACATTTCTTGACGCTTAGACCAATTCTATTATGAATTACTCGAAATCATGGAAACCGTTATAAAATTGTATTTAAATTCTCGACAGCCCATTTAACATACTCATACTAGAAACTGCAGTTACTTTAACTATTCGCTCTAAAACCATCAAGCGTTCATCCAAATAAAACAGTATTTCTCAAAGCCCATACATTGTTGTTTCTTACGAATAAGTACTTGTTTCCCATATCAAATGGAACTCCTTTTCAACTATTTATTTCTGTTATATTTGCTCACATTAGCAAATGATAACTTTAATTTTTCGAGTTTTCTCAAAAGACGCGATCAATCAATACAGAAAAGAAAACTCATTAGAATGCTCATTGAAAGAGAGCTCGAGTAAAAAAATAGGTAGTGTTCATAGAAGATGAAAAAAAAGAAAAAAGCCAGTGGCGGGACTCGAACCCGCAACCCCAAGATTAAGAGTCTTATGCTCTATCCGGTTGAGCTACACAGGCTGTTCGAATTACCAAAAATTTTCAAATATAAAACAAAATTATATCTTTTTGTGATATATACAAAGTAATCTTTTGTTTTTCATCAAATTCTAATAATCTTTTAATTAGTTGCAGAAAATCTATAGTATCAACATTGTATTATTAATTATTTATACCATGATTATAAAAAAAATTGATTGAAATTAGGCTCCATATTTCCATGATGATCCTGTATAATAAGTAAATTCACGGAAATATTGACATATTGGTTCGCACACCATGCAATAATTTTCTTCTATATCATCTTCATCGAAGTTCTGAACTTTATCTACTCTTGTTAAGAACTTTGAAGCTGTAATATATAGCATAGGATGCTCTACAGAGAGATCTTCAACAACCTTTGGACCAACAACTTTCCAAGAAGGACTTGCAACAGGTGGAATTGGAAAAGTTGGAACTTTAGCACCATCTTTATAGCCAATAAGTGTTGATATTGCTACATTATCACCATCAACTTTGGGTAAAAGAAGGCCTACAAGTTCATTAAGAGCTTCAATTGATGAGATTTCTGCAATTATAATTGAACTTTCTGGAATTTTGGCGCAAATAAGCTCGTATATCTTGTTTGTATCTAATCCTTTAATATCTTCGATTTTTCCATACTGGTTGAATTCAGTATGTGTTTTCAATACAGTTAATTTAATTTTGCCTAAGTCTTCTAGTACTTCATTCACTGGACGAACAAGTAATCCAGACATTTGGTAAATGACATCCTTAGAATTCTTAAATGTAGAAACAAAACCTGATGAAGAGCGTCTTGCAAGGGCATCAAGATGTGCATATGTTCCTTTAGTTATTCTTGGGTTACCAAGTGAATTTTCAACAACAAGTATCACAGCTTTCTCTATAACTCCAGCTTGAATCATTTTTTTGAATAAAAAAATCGATAAAAAATCAACTTTGTCAGTTTTTACGGGCTCAATCATTTTTCATATTTTTTGGGGAGTTTGTAAGAGATATTATGCATGCCAAACTTCATAGGGCTGAAATATGTCCGATGAGGCATTTGTAGATGAATAGTGAAATGAAAGACACAATGAATGTGCCTGAATTTTGATTATCGATAGGAAATTGAATTGAAAATAATCGGAAAATTTTGGCAAAAATCATCTTTTCATTGGATGGCTGATATTATCATTCCCGTTGGTCAAAAACTCTTATCAAATGTATCTATTGTTAAACTTAAAAAGAATGGCAAGCAATTCGAAATTGCTGTTACTCCAAATAAAGTCACAAGTTGGAGAAATGGATTAGAAAAAGATATCGATGAAGTCGTTCAATCACACTCAATTTTCTCTAATGTAGATCGTGGTATGCTTGCAAAACAATCAGAAGTTCTCGAAACTCTTGAAGTTGATGACATGGAAAAGGCATTACATATAATCCTTGATCAAGGCAAACTTACACTTGCAGAAAAAGAAAGAAAACTTGTTATTGAAAACCTTACAAAAGATATTGCTTCAATTGTTGCTTCTCAATGTGTTAATGTCAATACTCAACGTCCATTAACGCCATCTACTGTTGAAAGGGCAATGAAGGAAATAGGATTTTCCGTTAAACCTGCTAAACCAGCAAAAGCTCAAGCTCTTAAAGTTATTCGCGATTTGAAGGCTGCTCATTACCCAATTGCACGTGCTAAGATCAGATTGGTATTTTACATTACTCCGGATCATGCTGAGAAGATGATTTCAATGCTTCCTTATGTAGAAAAAGTAGATAAATCTGATCCAAACCAAACAGCTGTTATTGCGCAAGTTGAGCCTGGTTCTCTCAGACAAGTCGCTGGAGAACTCGCAAAAGAGTTTGGAACTGAAATTAAAATAGATATTTTAGAATTATACGTAACTCCAACAATGGAAACAGCTGACAACAGACAACAAGATAATAGTACTACACAACAAGATGATGACTCTGAAGAAGATGAAAATACCAAATAAATTTACAAAAAAATCAACAGAATTCCATTTTACAGAGGAATTCACTACTTACACATGTTCTTATTTTGTTTAATTATCAAAATTTTATATTTGTTGAATCAAATTTTTCGAAATTTGATTTTTTTTGTGTCTCGAATAAAAGAATTTAATAAAATAGTACTTTATTCTCTATATATATAAACAATAAATCTAATATAAAAATAAAATTTGAATTAAAATCTCTTTCTATCTTCCTCAAACTTCTCGGCCATTCTAATCAAATTAACGTACTTGTTTTGGTTTCTCGGGAGTTGTTTAATGAATACAAAAAGCGGTTTAATGTAATCAGAAGCGAAATTGATGCATTTCTTTCTTCTTATCTCACGCTTATCTTCAGTAGTCATATCTACAAGCAGTTTTAGCTCTGCCGAGTAAAGTGTCAAATTTTGAATTTTTGATTTGTAAGTTTTCTTAATGAAATTGAAGATATCGTCGTATATGTCGGATAGTGTTGATATATCTGCGTCTTGAAATGCGTCAACCAACTCATTATAAGAATGAAAAACGTATCTGTAGAGATATGAAACTTCGTTACGTGCTTCTCTATTAGAAATGTCTGGATTTTCAAAACAGATCCATCTTAAGATTTCAAAATACTTGGAAATGTGGGGATTATTAAAATCATTAAGTTGTTGGTTCTTAATAATGATTGCAATACCATACATCATATCAGCAAAGAATTGTTTGGTGAATACTTCATTTCCTGTCTCTAAAAGATCAATCATATACGAAACTGCATCAATATATTCGTCATTTTTACCAGTTTTTGAGGAAAGCTGGGCCAATGCATATCCAGCTTTACCTTGTGCTGCTGGACTTCGTTTATTATGACTTCTTTCATTGAATTAAAAATGTTTTCTGCGTAATCTTGGGAAATATGGGGTAATGTCCTTATAATATTGCATAATAAGTCAAGTAATTCTTCCTGGTAGAACGAATTTCGGTTAATAAGTTCAATCCAAGGGTTAATAAAATCAACAAAGAGAAGATCAAGCTGATTTGTAATATTTGGATCTATTCTTAAGGTCTCCATGAGATTGTAATACTTGGAAAGAGCTTCACTAACGATTGACATCTTATCCTGAAGAACTACGATTTCATATTTGTTTTCATCACTAGAAACTGCGTTTTTAATGGACTGGTTGATATCAGGAACAATCATCTGTATGTATTCAAGTATATTTGGAAAGTGTTCTTTTGTTGAAAATGAGATAACTTCTTGAATTAACATAAAAGGCGAATGAATAAGGTCAGAGTTGGCCATCCTCGGTGTTTTAATCATTTCGTATGCTATTTCTATGAAAATCTTAAAGTATTGGGGATTTTCTGCTTCAATTGGAATCAAAACTCTCAAAGTCTTGCATAAAATGTCCTGTATATAATCGAAAGGGTTTGATCTGACCAAATTGGTAAAGTTTTCCCATAAAAGTTGGCAGAATTCGTCATTTTTTCGTATTTCTCTTGGATATGCCAAGAAAAACTTGGAGAAAACCTCCAAAAGTCGGATGATTACATGAGCATCACGACATTGGAAGCATTGGAACAGCTGTTCTTGAATTGCTGCAATAAAATTCAAAATTAAATCTGTATATTTGTTGTCATCCTCAACAAAACACGATTCTAGCATACATATCCCAATATATTTGACCAAATTGTCATCAGAACTGATGTTTTGAAAAATTACGTCAGATAATTGCTCAAAAATCTGATTTCCGTTCTCAATGAACAAACAGTTCATTAGTTTGATCAAATAAGTCTCAAATGCTGAGAAATCGTTTTGAATCAAGTTTGAATTTAAATTAATTTCTCCATAGAGGTCAGAAGCTGAATTAAAGATCTGTTCTGCAAAGAATGAGAACAATCTGTGGTTGTACGTTGCTCCCATCTCCATTTTATGGATGTGGATGAAGAAATCAATTGAAACTGATTTTAATTCAGGAGAAGTACAATTAAAACCTTGGCAAACGTTTTGAAATATCAACTGTATAAACTCTGTAACATTCTCATTGCATTCGTAAAGATTTACAACGATATTCAATAAAATTCTATGAGATTTCCTATAAATTTGAAATTCCATGTAAGGAAATGCTCCAAGTAAAGATTCAACGATTCTAGAACACAAATCAAGCCGAAAACAAAGAGTTTGGAAGTGGCTTGTAAAAAGATCGAGAAAATCGTAATAAATTTCGCAACTTTGAGGTTCTGTAGCCTTAGAACTTATCACAGCAAGTGTTTTGTCGAATACTTGGAATAAAGGCTGTAGATTTTTCGATGATTCAACAACTTTTATAAAATTATCATTAATTAGATCGTTAAAAGCGTAAACAACAGCGGAGATTTCGTCAATTTCGGAAGAATTTTCTATTTTGTTCCCTAAATATTCAAGGCATGATGGCCATGATCCGTTTTGTACTCCAAAAATAGCTGTAATGACCTTTGATGATTCATTTCTGATAATAACACTTTCAGAAAAAAGTGAGTTTATGACTGATGATTGAATAGCTTCTTTAATTGGTTGAAAATTTGATGATCTCCAAAAACCATTTGGACTTAAAGAATGAATTGCTTGGTAAAGAAGTGATAATGTAGCAACTTTGATAATTTCATCTAGTGTTGGGTCTGATATAGCTTGAACAAATAAATTAAAAACTTCAAACTGATTTTCAACAGATTTAGTGAAATAAAACTTAATTTTCGATGAAGCATCCTCTCCATTTTCAGTCACACCACTGCATGATTCCTGTATTATCCCTATAAATTCGGAATATTCCATAATTGTTTTTTTTCCCCAGAAATTTATTCCTAAATATTGGTGCTGCACGCCCGTATATCATGATATATTTTTCCTTATTTTCATCATTTATTTTATCAGTATGAGATCAGAATTTAAAATATTCATGCTTTGTGAAACAATTTGCAGGATGATTTAAAAATTTTAATTATTTTTAAAGTCTTTGGACTTAAACACCATTTGTTTCATACTCTTTCACTAATCAAAACTCTTTATTAAGCTATGTCATTCCGATGCACATTTTTTTTTTGAAATTTACATCTACAATAAAGAATTATAAAGAATAAGATCATTAAATATAATAAGAAAGGATTCATATATTATGCACCCATTCCATAATTTGTTTTTATGTAGGAATAATGCTATTTCTCAAAGAAATTTGTAAAAATTAAAAATATAAATAAAAAATATATAACATTTTTATTTCAAACACAATGATAAAACAAAAATACATAATTTAAGAACGTCGGGGAACTAAAAGAACCGGAAGAGTTGAATTATTCGCATCTTGTGACTGACTTCCAGTTCGTTTCCTATTTTGAGGTGACCCAACGCTTCCATAATTAGTGCACTTCAAAGGTGGAGACGAAACAGTGTCGTTCTTTTCCAAATAATCTATAATAATGTTTTCAACGAAAGCTTGCATTTCTGTTTTAGTAACGCATTGTCCAAACTTTTCTGATGCAGAATTGACTTCATCCTTCAAAGTTGTGACAATTGTCCTCATTTTTTCGAACATTCGCTCAACTAAGCCAACTTCTTGTGTCCATGAGTTCTTTGTAATGGCTGTCCTACTAAGCTCATCGATTTTGGACTGTGCGGTCTCCAGTTTCTTTGTTAATTCTTCAATATTATCAGAGTTGGATTTTGTGTCTCCATTTGCTTTGCTACCTGTAGTTCTCGATGTTTCTCCGTTTGGACCTGCTGCTGCAAACTCTTCTTCAGGTATAAGCCTTGTTTGGACTGTATTATTTAATTCTTCAAATTTTTTGTTCATTTCGTCTTTGAATTTGTCGATAATTGATGTATCAAACTTTGGATGGGCTACAACAGTAAGATCACTTTCAACTTTCAATAATCTTTTCTTCACTGTATCAAAGTCTTGTTTTGTAATTGACCCTGATGCAGTCTTCAACTTTTGCTCGAGCTGATCTATCCTGCTTTGAAGAACAACAACATCTGACTCTCCATCGCCCATTTTCTCAATAATTCTTGTGTCAACAGACATAAGAACTTGGTCAATGGATTGGTCGATGTGTTCGCGAATTTCTTCGTTCTTATGATCAACGTCTTTGAGTACTTTTTGAATATTTGCTTCGAAATTGGGGAAAGATCTAAACAAAACGTCACGGTCATTTCTCCATTGATTTGAAAAGCTGTTAAAATCTTTCGAATCTAATTTTTCTTCCATATCTTTGTTGATTTGGTTGATTTGTCTTTGTTGATCAACGAGCATTGCTGTTATTTCATGTAATAATGTACCTAATGAGTCAGAAACAATGTTTAAGTTAATTAGATTTCCTTGTTCAACGAGCGATTTCAAGCGCTCCGCTGACATTTCGAAATAACGTGCAAGAGTTGTCACTTTTGCTTACATCAAAAAATATGTTTCTTTCCATATTAATCATTTGCTTAGATTGTAATAAACAGAAATTCATCAAAAGTGACAGCTCTCAATTTTTTGACATTTGTAAATTCTAAATTGAATGAGAAAAATGAAATAATACTAAGCATAATACAATATTCTAGATTTAATTATAATTAGGAAAAAGTTAGTTTTGAGAGTACTTTTCATAGGCATATAGAATGAAATCTTCTGAAAAATAATATCACATAAACTCATATTATTTTCTAATATATAACTATTTTATATAAAAATCAAATTCAATGATCTTAAAAGCGAAGGATAAACCTCAAAATTTACGAATATAATGAGTGGGAATATAATGCTTATCTATCATAAAACCATATGAAATATCAATTTTTGCTTTACGCCTAATTTTTAACGACAATTAGCAAAAAATGTTAAATGTTAACACTCAGTCCATTTGAATATGAAAAATAAAATTGACTTTGATTAAATGTGTTTATTTATCATGCAATTCTTCTTGCGACCAAAGATTTGAATAAAAGTTCAAAAAATAAGATAGCTTAAAAATAATATACGGTAGTGTTTACTAATAGATGAATAGTATATAAATTCTATTAAAATGGATTTGATCCAAAAAAATATATAAAATTTGATCATAAATAAAATCGTTTTTAATTACTTCTTCATTTAAATTATAACAATTATTTTTGGTTTTATAGTTTTTAAAGCTCATGTGGTTTTTTTAACCACAGAATACTTATGTGCTGTAGCAAGCTTGCAATCCAAAGCTCACGTTAGACAACAAGAGTCATGAAGTCTCATACTAAGGGATATCCAACATATATTTTAATAATCTAATGTTTGTGACAAATATTCAACATAAAATTAAGTTTTTGTTTCGTTACAAGGCATTCATACTTTGGAGATATCATAAGATGAGTGGGAATATAATGCTTTAATTTACGAATATAATGAGTGGGAATATAATGCTTATCTATCATAAAACCATATGAAATATCAATTTTTGCTTTACGCCTAATTTTTGACGACAATTAGCAAAAAATGTTAAATGTTAACACTCAGTCCATTTGAATATGAAAAATAAAATTGACTTTGATTAAATGTTTTTATTTATCATGCAATTCTTCTTGCGACCAAAGATTTGAATAAAAGTTCAAAAAATAAGATAGCTTAAAAAATAATATACGATAGTGTTTACTAATAGATGAATAGTATATAAATTCTATTAAAATGGATTTGATCCAAAAAAATATAAAACCAAAAATAATTGTTATAATTTAAATGAAGAAGTAATTTAAAACGATTTTATTTATGATCAAATTTTGTATATTTTTTTGGATCAAATCCATTTTAATAGAATTTATATACTATTCATCTATTAGTAAACACTACCGTATATTATTTTTTAAGCTATCTTATTTTTTGAACTTTTATTCAAATCTTTGGTCGCAAGAAGAATTGCATGATAAATAAAAACATTTAATCAAAGTCAATTTTATTTTTCATATTCAAATGGACTGAGTGTTAACATTTAACATTTTTTGCTAATTGTCGTCAAAATTAGGCGTAAAGCAAAAATTGATATTTCATATGGTTTTATGATAGATAAGCATTATATTCCCACTCATTATATTCGTAAATTTTGAGGTTTATCCTTCGCTTTTAAGATCATTGAATTTGATTTTTATATAAAATAGTTATATATTAGAAAATAATATGAGTTTATGTGATATTATTTTTCAGAAGATTTTGTGTTCTTCTTCAAAATTTTATTTTTTTATTAAAAAGAATCTTTACAAAATATACATTTACTTTAATTAATATTTAAAAACGTGCTCTATCAAAAGTTCCAAAAATTCAATATTTTAGCTTTTCTGAGGTGTCACTTTTGATGAATTTCTGTTTACAACAAGATATTGTCTTTCTTTTTATCTCTATTTTAGAATTCACTTTCTTTTAATATTTTACTTCAATTCAAAAAATGTAAAAAAGGTGGTAAATAAAGGTAGTCTCACGAGAAAACTGACGGTAAAAATTCGATGAAACCAGGTGCATTGTATAGTACATATATGTGGTAAATAAATGTCGATTAGCTTTGTAAAAAATATCCCACAGTTTTTGAGATCTTGAAAACGGCCATTCAAAAAGTCGAAAATTTTCGCGAGATGTTAATGGGCAAGACAGTTTTTCGACAAATAAATCGTAAACATGGGAATTAAAATAAGGCGTTATATTACATATATGGTAAAGAATATGGATGTGAAGAGCATTAGTAGAATGGAAAGACTTTGAAATTTTAAAAAATTTATTTGGACTAAAAAATTATTTGATTATAAAAAACATATTATATATCAATTGCTATATAGAACTATCATAACAGATTTTGGAAAAGCCGCAAATCCCCAAGTTGGAAAATTCATTAAATACTAATTATTCAGCTTTTTATCAGAAAGGAAGGTAGTGTAGTGGCTGGGAACACTATGCTCTTTTTGAATCTAAAAGGCAACTGTTCAAATCATAACATCTTTGTTTTTTTTTCTTATTCTGCCATTATTGTTTTTCCTTGTTATGATTCAAATTAAAAATATTTTAGTAAAGGTATTTTGGACATCATTTTTTCACATTGTCTCAATGCAAATGTTTGAAAATTTTGTAGGCAATATGACAACTCTTTCAACATTTGTTCTCTTTTATTAACTCAAACAGATTTAGGATCTAATTTCATGCCTTCGAAGACATTTAAACCATCTTCAACATAATTTATTGACAAATTGATAACAATTACTCATGAATGTCGTAGATTTAATATCCTGTCACTCAGCAACAAATTCGGGTTCAATAACAAAGCTCAGTAAAAACTTTCCAGAAATTCTCCAATTTATTTTAGTGTCTTTTTGCGTCATTACGGCTGCATTTTCTTCTGCATCTGAACGCTGTGTTTGGAAGAAGACGAAATACAGAAACTTTCAACACAAGTAATCAGATTTTCTTGTCTTTCATGTTAAAATGCTTCATCTCGCTAGGTATACGTCATTTATTGGATGGATTGTTAGCTTTGTGTCCAAATAGCAAAAAAAAGTATTAATTTAAATTTCGCATTTTGCATAAGTATACGCTTTAATTTATATCAAAACAGATTTAGATAGCTTAAAACAATATAGTTTACTCATAAATACATCTTGATAATTCACTTCTTCAATTTTCATAATCTTATATCCTGACCTATATCCTCTTATAAACCATATTTCTACTGAGATCTTCTTAAAGCATCTTTTTATCCCTATCTACGCCTCGAAACCCTATTTTTCCGGCGGAATATGAATCTTCGGGTCTCGCTGATTCGATTTCTGCAGTCAGATCGTAAAAATACCCACTACATAGCCTGATAATCTCAATTTAAGTTCCTTAATTTTTTTGAAAAAAAAATTAAAACTCCCTTATCAAACATCATGCTCATTTTTACGAATTTCATTTTTCCTTTAAGTTTAAAATATACGCTTTTTAGCATGTTTATAATACATTTTCAATTTACATTTACATTTTTATTTTTGAATTGTTTATTTATATTTCCGTTTGAACAATAATATTTATTGAAAATTGTGAGAGAAACGGATATAATAAAAAAACACCATACAACAAAATTCACTTTTTTTCATACTTACGCGGATCACTCCTTTTCGGCCCAATATGCCGGAAATGATAAAACTCTCAGATCTAGTTGCTAAGATCCAAACTCTCGACTCTCAAATCTATTTCCTCAGATATTGTTGCTAAGATCTCTCGACTCTCAATCTACTTCCTCAGATCTTGTTGCTAAGATCTACTCTCGACTCTCAAATCTACTTCCTCAGATCTTGTTGCTAAGATCTAAACTCTCGACTCTCAAATCTACTTCCTCAGATCTTGTTGCTAAGATCCAAAATCTCGACTCTCAAATCTACTTCCTCAGATCTTGTTGCTAAGATCTACTTCCTCAGATCTTGTTGCTAAGATCTAAACTCTCGACTCTCAAATCTACTTCCTCAGATCTTGTTGCTAAGATCTACTTCCTCAGATATTGTTGCTAAGATCTAAACTCTCGATCTCAAATCTACTTCCTCAGATCTTGTTGCTAAGATCTACTTCCTCAGATCTTGTTGCTAAGATAAACTCTCGACTCTCAAATCTACTTCCTCAGATCTTGTTGCTAAGATCTAAACTCTCGACTCTCAAATCTACTTCCTCAGATCTTGTTGCTAAGATCTACTTTCAGATCTTGTTGCTAAGATCTAAACTCTCGACTCTCAAATCTACTTCCTCAGATCTTGTTGCTAAGATCTAAACTCTCGACTCTCAAATCTATTTCCTCAGATCTTGTTGCTAAGATCTAAACTCTCGACTCTCAAATCTACTTCCTCAGATCTTGTTGCTAAGATCGATCTATTATACTCAATTTTACTTAAGCAATATAGATCACCTTTATTATGATTCTCTTTATCTGTACTTGTTTAAAATTAAATTACATCATAAAGATCTAATTACAAATTATTTAGAATTTTGAAATAAAACCAGTATTTTATCAAATGCTTTGAGATTAATGCATTCAAACTTAAAAAAAAAGATATATTCAGATCAATTTCAATATTATTGATTTTTTAATGTAAAAACTATGTCTACATAGATCTCAAACAATTTTATTAGATACTCTTTTTCCCAATTTTTTTCAAAATCTCTTTTTACATATCAAAAATTGTATTTTTCAATTTCATTTTTATTTTTTCCATATTTTTTTTGGAATTTGGATATGCGTCCAAAGTAGTTATGTCATTAGAAAAATATTAGATATCTGAAGAGAAAATGATAACTTAGAGAGTTTTAAAGATTTTATTTTCGAATACAAATATAGACCTCAGAGGAATACATTCTAAATAAATTTGTATCTGAGGGTGAATAAATAAGAACAAAAT